GCCAGGAGAGGTTAGAGTCCTAGGTCTGGTAATGCCCAGTATTGTAACTGCCATGCCAACTATGCCTGTTGCCAAGCAAAAGACACCACCATCAACATTTTAAAACATCTAACCTGAACAGCATTGCTTCCACATCAAAAAGCCCCCTTGCCAAAAACCACAGCTAACTGTTGGTTTCAATTGGAGAGTTTATTTGCCTGACATTAGGCTGCTCAGGTGTCTGCCATTATTATTCATACCCAGGCTTATGAGATATGAAATGCATAAATGTGAGTAATTCTGTGCAAACCCCTTTGGAAACAAAACCACGTGTATTAGCCAACAGCATGTTTTAATAATTAGAGGACAGCAGCCAAGGAATAGCACAGTGGTATTCAGAATGTATCAGATCTCCTTTTTCTTTCCCTTTTCCCTGTCTCTTCCTCTTTCATTTCTGTGGCTGTCATCTTGCCTGTCAGAAGGGAAGGGAAACGTTTCTAAGCCTCTAACCTTTGGTGCCTGAGGAAAGCTCATCTACAGCTTCCAAACTGCGCTTCACCCTCCCCAGGTGGGAAAGAGGATGGCAATGAAACGCAGCAAGGCTGAATCAGAGAGAGCACACGAGAGGCCCAATTCTGCAGGTCTGTGGGACTCCTCTTTCAGAGGCTTCTCAGAACCAGGCCAGAGAAAAGCCAACGGATTCAAAAGCATTGAATCAGCCTTCAGAAATTCAGGATGTTGGCCTAAAAAGCCCAATGTCTCCAAGAAACAAACCAAAGCAAAACAACAACCCCTGCTCATTTTTTCACGTGCCTTCTGCTTTCTGAGCAATCTGCATTCTGACAGCATATTTAAGCCTTCCCCCTCAAGGACGAGATGCTGCTTCTTATTCTTCTTCAGTACAAGCGCAATCCTAAGACAGATTCTGATGTAATGACACGTGTCCAGGAACTAAGAATTTAAAACCCAGGAGAACACATGGGTACTGTAATAAAGTCGTGAGCTAGCAGTGACCAGCTCATCCTTTGTTTGGTCACCTTTCAGTGCAATTCTTGTTTATGTGACAAGCAGGGCCTTCAGTGATACCTTAGTTTATGGTTGAAACTGAAACAGGGCAAGTTCAGGTTAGATCTAAGGCAGAAGCTCTTCCCTGTGAGGGTGCTGAGGCGCTGGCACAGGGTGCCCAGAGAAGCTGTGGCTGCCCCATCCCTGGCAGTGTTCAAGGCCAGGTTGGACACCGGGGCTTGGAGCAAGCTGCTCCAGTGGAAGGTGTCCCTGCCTGTGGCAGGGGTTGGAACTGGATGATCTTAAGGTCCTTTCCAACCCAAACCATTCTATGATTCCATAATTACATACCCCTTCATCCATACATCCACCTAACAGCGTTTATAGAGTGTCTTTCGAACATGGGCTGTTTTCCCAGTCCACTAATTGCATCCTTCACATGGTGGCAGTTATAATTCAGACACCTCCTCTTCTCTCAGTGCCTTTAGCCCAAGACCCAGTTGTCCCCTGCACGCTCAGCTCTCTCCTGTTTCACCTCGCTGCCCCACACTGCCTGCATTGTCACAATGCAGCCAGCACACTGCAGAGTCCCTGCTGACAGGGCTTGTTCATCAGGCAGATCCTGCATCCCGCAGGTCTGGTCCTGCACTACCGACATCCAAGAGCTAGGATTTGCCTTGTGGGCCTTGATCACAATCCCACTGAATCTCTGGAAATTCTGCTATAGATGTCAGGGGGTATCAGACTGCAACTGGTATGTAATTGTGTGAAAAGAGAACGTCAGCACCAGCTACTTTTTATGCGGACTAAAGGACATCATACTGGCATGTCAACGGGATAAATCAGAGTTGTTCGTTCCCTTCTGCTGCAAAGCCAAAAGAAACTCGTATTATCTCTGCACACCTCTATGCCCTTCCAGTATTTTATGTATCTTCTTGAATTGCAAGAAGATGATCTGCCTCGCTATCTGCCTTTACTATGCCAGCAGGCCAGGAAATTGTTTGGGGGCTGGTTCCTGGATGCTGCTCCATGTCGCAATGCAAGGAATCGGGATTAAAAATTAGTACTCAAGTAAATCAACTACAAACACCTCTTCTCCTCAGATCTCAGGTTCCTGGTCGGGAGAAGCTAAGCGATAAGGAGACCTGCACAGTAAACTGCAGAAAGTTCAAACGGCAAGAGCCTGATGCAAGCCCTTATTTACTGCAATTCTAATCTACTTCTAATCCATCGCACAGCATAACACAGAGCCTTCTGATAACAAACAGCTACACAAACCCCCACTGATTTCCCTGAGCAACATAAGCTGCCAAACCCCACGTTCAGCCTCCATGGGAAAGACCTTCACCTCTGGATAGAGCCCATTGGTGCACACCCTGTTAGCAATTGCCAGCTCCTTTGGAAATGACTTTCATCTGGTTGCAGAGAACGCGTGTGTGGAGCTAGCCTGGCAGCCCTTCTCAGAGCTTTATTCACTGCAGCTTAAACGAGACAACCATCCGTCATTCTACTGCCTTACATGAGATGCTTTGGGTAGCCCTAACCTTCTTACTCTCTTTTTACTAACTCAAATACTCATGCCCGGCATTTATTTCCTCCATCCTACATGGGAGAGAGGCTTTCAGTGTCCCTTCCTATTCCCATTGGCAACAAAGATGTTCTATTTAATGTCTTTTTTTCCTATAGGATGGTGGACAGTGAACGGCACGTTTTCACCCATTAAAGATAAGCCTCAAATGACTAAACTGTGGTTCTTGGCGCACAAAATAAATATAATAGAAGTAAAGTAACAGGAAAAAAAAGGACATTTTTGTTACGGTATTACTATCATGAATAGTTGCTTAACAGTACCTGCCCTTCACGCACCCAGTATCTGGGTAGCCCCCTAAAAGAGGTGCCCACAGTGGGTGTCCCACCTTGCTCCCTGCCTCTTATTTCCAAGGTGCCTCCAGCTCTCTGCATCACAGTGCCAGTTCTAACTGGACATCAGCTGTCTCTGGTGCTTCCTCAGGCTCTGCCCAGCACCACCAGTGACAAAGGCAGCTCAGAGACAGCGCTGTAGAGCTGGCCCAGCAAACCCCAAGCCATTAGCTGCCTCCTGCTCACAGAGGCTGACATCTTTCAGGCAGCGTCAGAACTCATTCTCTGAAGCTGGGGGGCTCGGATGAGCCCCTAAAAAAAACAACTTTTGCAGTAGGTAGGCGATGGCAGTACTTGCCGAACAGCAGACTTCAAATACATCTAATGATATCAGTGCAGCACTGCCTTTGCTCGACGAGGCAACTCTTTCACGCAAGTAAAAGCAATAAATGCTCAATTACTGTTTGCTATTTATTGATGTCCCGATGCACTTGGAAGGGAGTGGCGAGATCACATCACATCACACACAGGAAACGCTTGGGATAGCAGCAAGAAGTCTCCATGAGTTCTGAGAAACCGTTCACACCAGTGCCATGAGTATTCCCAGAGAAGTTACCAAACCTTGGCTGAGCTGCTTAAAACAGAGCAGGCTCCATAAGCACACCAATAAGCAAACTCTCTTGCAGCTGCCGGGGCTGATGCTCTTCCTCACTATTCTGATGCAGACAGAGAACTTGCTAGCCCATGATGGTCACCAGAAGACGTTTGGTCCACCTGAACATCTTACCAGTGTGAGTAGCTACGTTGGAGGGTGCCCTGGTATCCTTCAGTTTCCCCTTGGAACACTGCATTAAGGGAATGCTTATGTTCCTGCACCCCAAATTTAACGAGAGCCCCGCTGAAAGGAGGGGAAGTCTTTTCCATTCACCCTACCATAGTTTGTAGGTGACCAATACAAATAAACAACTTATTCAGAGACTTTAAATACAGATATTTCTGCTTCAATGCTTGTAGAAGCAGGTAAGCAGACATGAAAAGAATCCTACGTATGGCTAAAGGAGTATTTAGGTTTACATACAGATTTCTCTTGCCCTGCCTTTGTAAGTTGAAAAATCAACAAGCATTTCACATTTTGCTGCCTGGGGAGCTGGTTTTCGAGCAACCCTGTGCTCCTAGGAAAGTAATCGGTATTAAATAACCCTGTACATATAAGTGACCATCAGGACTTCAGCAGACTCCCTTCATAACACTTGCTCTAGCCCTGGAGAATATTAATATTCACACCTTCCTCCACAGCATCCCATCACACCAGCACCATCCCTGTACTCTGTCAGGGAAGAGTTTTGACTTTCCATGCACTAATTCATTTGCTGCCACATTCCTTGGCTGTAACTAAGTACAGTTTTCACCTGTCCAGACAGTAAATGGAGCCAAGGAATGACTAAGCTGTTTAGGCAGGGGAATCCATGGGGGAACAGCCTGTGATGGGTGATGGTCTAATCCTGGAAACAGGTTTCTCCTCATGTCATGGGCTTTACACCCCCTGCCATTTTACACCTTCTTAACCGTACTTTAATCTCATAATCAGACACAATGATAACTAATCCCTCTGGAGTGACAGTAGATTTACAGCTCCTTCTGAAAGATACCATAATGGAAAGGAACTAAGGAGTAATCTTCACCATCCCATCGTGCATCAACAGGGAATAGCAAACCACAGGCATGTGTGCATGTAGAGTCATTTTCAGCCTTTGTTCCTGTTGCTTTCATGGGGTAGTAACAGCAATGGCTAAAAGGAAGACGGTAATCACTGAATGTACTGAGAATTAAGCCTGGCGTGAGCTGGGGCTGAAGGATTCACACCCAGTCTGAAACTACTGCGGGTCTTCAAGGCAGGGCTGTAGGTGGAGATCACATGGAATGGTATCAGTCCACTCTAACATCAGCATGCAGGATGAGCCAGGCTGTTGCTTGACAACACATGGTTTATGTAGCACGCAGCCTAATCCTGCACCGTGGACTAACATGGAAAGGGCCACGGACTTGCTTCCTACTTTTAGGGTGTTACTGTAGCCAGTGGATTAGGGAACTAAAAAAAAAAGGATCTTTCCTGGCAATGCTCAGACCCTTTTAAAAACCAGCTTCCCAAAGTTCGCTTTGATCATAATTCTGTTTGCTTTATATGTTTCTGAAGGCTCTCTGATGTGACAAACCCCCCTTCCACTGCTTGCATCCAGATACAGTTTTGCGATGAAAGGCTTTGTTCTCCTCCAGTATGGGAGGATTTGTGATTGGTGATCTGCGCCATTATTCATCTCTGCATGAAGTTATCAGACCTTATTCTTTGCTGGCTTTCACTGATGTACATCAGGAGTCTCGCCAGAGATACGACACGTTAGTTTTGAAGCAAACAAAAGGAGGTCCAGCCCTTGCATGTCCCCTAGAAGGTACTTCAAGACGAGTGGACTTTGGTCTTCATTTTGTTGTGACTGTCCCTCTGCAACTAATCAAGAACACCCCTAGATTAACTTTTCCAGGCAATTCCAGCTGGCATCCAGTCACTACTCCACAGTGAGCTGCGGAGTGGGTAGGCAAGGCATTGTGTCACCACTGCAGGTGAAACAGTAAGATCATAGTCGCATTTTTTGTACTCTTAGCTCTATGATTCAACCAGTCTTAACATACCAGTGAGTCAGAATGTGTTACATCCTGGCACTGCTCACAGTAATGCTCCCAGATGACTGGAAGCGATTAAAGTCTTCATCTGCCCTCCAGCCCCAGCAGTGTCGTTCAGGCAAGAGGTCCTGAGCCCTTGCAAGCCACCACACATTCCCCAAATTGGAGATCTTTGAGGAATAAACTCTCATTTTTAGCACAAAGCCACTGGATGCCAAGAACTGCCATTGTGCAAGTGACATGCTCCAAGACTCGCTTTACTGTTCAGATCCCAAATCCCCCATTTCCTGTTGACTCTCATTGCTTAAGCTAATATCATTCAGCCTCCTCTTTCAACTGGGTAGAAGGGCTTAGTCAAACCCCACTGCAGGCAGAGGAACACAGTGCACATGTGCAACAGTAGAAATAGTTGGCTCAGAGCATATTCATTTGTTGTGTGTAACTCAGTAATAAAAAACAAATGGAGAGACTTCGCTTTATGTATAATAAAAATACTGCAATATTTTATGTGTCTCATTTTAGCAGCCTGTTTTTAAATAACAACCTTTTCTTTTTTTTTTCCAATTGCAAATCTCTGCACAGAGGAGCAAAACATTAAAGTATTTTTAGTTTATGGGCTAAACGTCCAGCCCAGCAGTTGGCTAGTAATATATGTATACTGATAATAACCGCAGCTAGCAGGGGATGCAACGCAGCCTCAGTTATTTCCCTCCGCCCTGCAAGAACATATTCCTCCTGTTAAGAATCCCGATGTCAGCCAGCACTGCTAACTGCATCGGTTCACGCTTCCCTGAAGAGAAGCAAAATGGTAGATGGCTCTTTGAAACCCCCCAAAGCCTTTCTGAGCAGCACAGCTCAACTGCTCTGAAATAACAGCCCTGAAATACCAGATTCTCTTCTTCAGATGGTTGTTTTTACTCAATAGGCAGCGCACTGTTGGAAACTCACCCCTTTGAAATTCTCTGAGCACATAGGCTTGTTGGTCTTCCTCCAGGGAAAGCCAGTGACACCGAGGAACCTTCTGAGCTTGTAAAGATGCTCAATAGAGTCTGAAGATATGGAAGTGGGCATCGCTTTGCACAGAAACACGTCCCACCTTTCCAGCATGTCTGCTTTGTCTGCTGATAAAGAGTACGCTGGTCCCTGCAGAGCACGGTGCGGGGTCCCTTCCAGCCTGCTTTGGGCAGAGCCCAGACACAGGGCTCCTCAAGGCACAGGCAGGGACGCTCAGCACCACCGGTGCGCAGGGAAGAGGCTCTGCTTTGCTTCAGGCAGAACGTTAAGGGTGCCGTGCAATGAACGCACCATGAGCAAAGAACCACTGGAGAGGTCAGCCCAGAGGTGCCAGAACACGCAGAAAATTCAGCGTTAATTGCGATGCACCCCAGCAGCGTTTTTATGCTCTCAGACTGGATTTGCCATTTCCATGACACTCGCCAAATCATCTCGGTATCACTCTGGTTAAACCCGTGGCGAAAGACAATAGCTTTCCTGGAAGCAGATGGGTGTAACGCCTGCAGAAAAGAATCCGGCAGCAGGGCCAGACACCAGCACTCCCTAGTTTACTCGTGAATCACGTAACCAGTGGTGACGCTACAACACGCTCTTTTCCCCTCCTCTGCTTGCTGTGTTTCATTCAGGATGCGTTTTAGGATACCATGACCATTGGAAAGGAATAATCATCATCATGGTCTAAAACATTTACTGCAGTCCCTACAGAGAGCGAGTTGAGAGAACTGGAACCAAGTGGCTCTTTTGTTTTCCCCAGCTAGAGGGTTTGGAGCGAGCAGGACGCATTGTTTCCCTCCAGCCTTCAGAGGTGAAGACAAATTAGCCTTTGCTTCTGACAAATTGGCTTCTTGTTTTCAATAACAAAGTCTCCTAATTGAAAACATAAACCCTGATTTGAAAGCCTCTTGTGTTTTCACACTTGGCTTTTAGCTTATTTGTGCTTCTCCACTTCGGCATCTTTGAAAAGCATTTCTGGAAAGTGAGACCGCCCCAATGTCTCCCACTAAACCAGTTACTATTATCACTGACAGGCACGGCTTTACAGGTGGGGACAGACAAAAGCATACAGAATAACAGACAAAAGAGTTTTTGCCATCGGCCTCTCCCCTACTGTGTACTTTCAGTAGCAGTTAAGTTGTCCCATTCATACAGACGAAGTATCCTAGAATATAACACTGGTCAAAGTGGGAATCTTTCACTGGAAAAGTCCTGCACCATTGTCATTTCCCCCCACTTAAGTGACGAAACCCACAGAGCTGCACACTCCACGGCGGAGCACGGCTGGAGAGGGCTGCCTTTTCCTTCTCAAGCGTTCACACAGCGTGGAGACGAGGCCCTCAGTGCCATGGGTCAGTGGTGCCCTTGGCAGTGCTGGGCAACGGCTGGGCTGGATGAGCTTAAAGGGCTTTTCCAACCCGGCTGATTCCATGATTCTCCTCCCGGTACAACGCCAGCAAGCCAGCTCCTGACCTCTGATTGTTGCTTCCAGAAAAGGGTCTGAGAGGGCTCTGCTGAAGTTTGCTTTGTTGATAAATATCCGAGAAGCCCTCTGGGATCTGAGGCTTAAGCAACTGTCTGCTACAAACCAATTCCCTCCTCCGAAAGAAAGAAAGGAGCAGGAGAAGGCAGTGCTAACCCCACAGTGAGCTGCGTGGTGTAGGTGCTCCTGGAGAGAGCAGCACTGCCTCTCCTTCCCTTCCCGTTTCATGTGGACCCTGGAAAACCCTCACTAACCAGGCAGTTGTGCTGCCCCTGAGAAACAATGAACAAACAAGCGCCAGGTCATTGTCAAGCTCGAAGCCAACCCACTGCAGCACTCCTCAGAGCAAACTTCCTCAGTGGTGACTTGATTTTGTTACCGTTTTTACTGCCATCTAATTGAAGCCACCGATGGCTAATTGCTTCATTTATCATCAAGTTTACAGGCCACACACTGCAAAGCTAATTAGAGAGCAGACATTGTGCTTCAGCCTCCCTTTGAAATATTGCTGCCATTTACATGTAATTCCAATTCATTACGTTTCAAAGAAGCTGAGAGGGGGAACAAAGATTATTTCTAAAGACCAGCACTGAGATTAGGCAGGCCCAGACCCTGCTCTAACACAGCTATTTTAAGCTTATTGGGAAAGGGGGTGGAGGAGAATTAACAGTTTCCTCCCAGTTTCTGACGCTACCGAGCGCAAACCCCAAAGCCACATCATGAATCTTGCCTAAACGCTCGCCGTGAGCTCTGCTCCACACACACAGGTCTCAGCCGTACTGATTTTCACAGGGAAGTGGTGAATTTTGCACTCGAGGTGAGAAATACTGCCCTAAGGATTTAAATCTGACAAGTGCCAAGGGCCCGTGAAGGTTCCTCTGTTTGGCATGGCGAGGGGGGAAGGCAGACCTCGGCGTTCGCCACGCACTGATTCGACCATAAATCACCCGAAGCCTGCAGACATTTGGCAGACCTGCAAAGAATTGTTATTTTAACTGAAATCTGATAGATTTTCTACTTCGAAGGCATTTTCAGATAAATGCCTCCGAGCTGGAGCCAGCTTTGCTCTTTCCTTGCACAGGTTTCCACACTAACCTCACTGCTGCTGCTCTTTGGACTGAGGTATGCAGGACCCGGCTCTGAGCAAGAATAAAGCTCATTCTCTTCCCTGCTTGTTGTTTGATATTCCCCTGTCGCAACTATTCCTCTTCCTTCCCCTTTTTAGGTCCCCTACATCCTGACAGGCTCATTTCTCCCTAAATAAACTCGAAGCACAGAAGCAAAATACATTTGTTGCCCGGGAAACACGCAACTCAGTAGACGAGGTGGCCGTCCTAAGAGAGCCATAGACCTCCAAGGAAGTTTTTATATCAATAATTGTAACCAACCAGAAGTTCCAGGTTACTATAACATTCCCTGCTACTTGCTTGCTCCTTTTCAAGGAGTTTGACGAGCTCCTCATTACAGCCCATGATTTATTTTGGGTTTATGTGGAGTCTCAGCCTTCATGTCCAAAGTGTTTTATTCTAACAGCGAAAATCTGACAGAATTTCAGAAGGGGGCAGAAATCACTGCCTGAGGATTACTGGTGAACTCTTCATTGTATCATCACTCTGCCTCATCAGCTCCCCTTTTCACTTGGATTCAATGGCTGTTTTCTGTAACACGCCGCTGCTTTAAAACAGCCCTATTTCCTCCGGCCTTCTAAATGACACTAAACATAGTGCAATAGCATATGACATCCTGCTTCCGGCACCGACAGCACACCACTGACAGCAAACCCTTGCTGTCTCTCCCAGGAAAGCATTCACACCACTATTTCCCTCTAAGAACCACTCAGAGGGAGGACCTCCCCAGGGAGACTGACTGGGTGTGCTCCAAGAAGCACTCCATCACCCCACATATGGGGCTATTTTCCATTTAAGTTATGATGTCTCCTACAGATCCCAGCAACGATCATTTTGCTTCTTGCCAGATAAGAAAACTATTCTTAGCAAGGCAGTAATGTCATACATTCTCTCAGATATGAATTGAGGGGCACACGTTAAGTTCAGTCATGCATCACCCCCCTTGAGCACGAAACTCTGGGAGGATCTCATGTGATGAATCAAGGAAGTAAACTGCATGTCAATACATTAGTGTTATTATGTTTATCAAGGATTTCTTCCAGCTGGTTCACAGTGCTTACTAGTGAAAGCAAAGCCAAAAGGGGACGACATCCACCACTAAGAGCCAACTACAGCCTCTCAGACAACAGCACCAAAGAAAGGAAGTGCAGAGAATCTTGAAATAATCAAATACGTCAGGGTCACTGTACCAAGAACCTAGTC